AATTTAAGAACTGGCTTACCATACTTACTGCAAAAGAAATGTTCGGACGAGTTACTTTGAGATAATTCAATTTTCCAACCAATCTCCTATACCTTCCTGAGTTAGATAGAGGCCCCCCCTGATTGAGTAGTAGTTTAACGCTTGGATGCATAGGAGTATCGGCTGGTTTAGCATTTAACAAACTTGTTTCTTCCAAAATATCCATAGCATATATTTCCGCTGAGAAATTACCAAACCGTCTTTAGATTGAGCTACTTCAATACCCAAGAAATAACGGAGTTTACCAAGATCTTTTGTCTGAAATTATTTCGAGAGATGTTGTTTCAACTGGAGTATTCCCTGCTGATCACTACCAGTTATGAAAATGTCATCTACATACACAATAAGATAAATACACTCTTGGGGTGAGTGACAATAAAAAAAAGAATGGTCAGCTTCACTGCTGATCATACCAAATTGTTGTACTATATAGTGCTGAACCTCCCAAATCAAGCTCTCGGAGATTGCTTAACACCATAAAGAGACTTGTGTAGCCTATAAACCATATCCGATGACTCCCCCTGAGCAACAAACCAAGTGGTTGCTCCATATATACTTCTTCTTTAAGATCACCATGTAAGAATGCATTTTTTATGTCAAGTTGATGAAGAGACCAATGTCGAATGGCTGCACTGGCTAGAAGAAGTCTAATAGATGCCATCTTGACTACAGGAGAAAAGGTATCACTATAATCCAACCCAAAAATCTGAGTGTATCCTTTGGCTACCAAGCGAGCTTTAAATCGATCAATCTTACCATCTGGACCAACCTTCACTGTATAAAGCCAACGACAACCTACTAAAGATTTCCCATGGGGTAAAGGAACCAGTTCTCAGGTTACTGCTTTGAAGAGCACATATTTCATCAATGATTACTTGCCTCCACTCAGGGTGAGTTAATGCTTCACTTGGAGTTTTAGAAATAGAAACAGAAGACAAAGAAGACAAACAAGTGTACTGCAAAGGAGAAAGACGATGATAACATAAATCAATATAATGTGGAGAAGGATTTCGTGTTTAACGTATACCTTTTCGAAGGACAATCGAAAGATTAGACTCAGGTTGCTGGATCGGATCCGGTGATGGCGAGAGCGTCAGAGGAGAGTCCGTAGTGACCTCAGGGACAGGTACGACTTCAGGAATAGGTACGACAGACGTTGGGTGACGAAGCTGATGTGTTTGAAGTGGGCGAGGAGTGAGGGGGGTCAACCGGAGGGGTATCTAGTGGGTCAGGTTCCCTAGAATGATGGGGGATAATGACAGATGGGACTTCCGGAAGAGGTGTGGGAACACTTTCTTGTAGAGGTTCCGTAGTTACTTGGCTGGACTTGAAATATGGAACAGACTCGAAAAAGGTAACATCGGTCGATACGAGGTATCGTTGTAGAGTATGTGAGTAGCAACGATAACCCTTTTGGGATCGATGATAGTCAAGAAAGACACACTTTAGTGATCAAGCTGATAGTTTATCAAGACCAGGGGAGAGATTGTGTACAAAACATGTAGACCCGAAGACTCGAAGAGGAATTGGGTGGAGTGGAGAGTTTGAAAACAAGATTGAATGAGGGATTTTATTATTAAGGACAGATGAGGGCATGCGATTTATGAGGTAACATGTTGTGTGCACCGCATCTCCCCAAAACCGGAGAGAAAAAATACCATGGAGAAGTAGGGTCTGAGTGGTTTCTACGAGGTGCCGATTTTTGCGTTCGGCTACCCAATTTTATTGGGGTGTATGAGGACAAGATGTTTGGTGCAAAATACCATTGGATGACATAAATGTTTGAAATTGTTGGGATAAATATTCACGTGCATTGTCACTTCTTAAGGAACAAATAGACAAACCAAATTGGGTTCTTATTTCTCGATAAAATTGTTCAAAAATGGAAAACAATTCAGATCCATTCTTCATTAAAAATAACCACGTGCAACGTGAAAAATCATCAATAAATGTGACAAAATACCTAGACTCAAGAGTAGAGACAATACGCGAGGGACCCCAAACATCGATGTGAACTAAAGCAAAATGGGACGAAGCTCGTTTGTTGACTCGATTGAGAAACTGACTACGAGTTTGTTTTCCTAATTTGCACGACTCACAATGTAAATTAGATACCTTCGATAAATTTGACACCAACTTATGTAATTTGGAAAGACTAGGATGACCTAACTGAGCATGGATAGTGAGTGGGAAATATTTGGTTGACCATGTCTGAGATGACAATGAGAGGTAGTAAAGGCCTTGAGACTCATATCTGACGCCAATCGTCTTTCCCGAACTTCGATCTTGCAGGGTAACATTATTGTTACTGAAGGTGATATTACAATCAAGAGAACGAGTTAAACGACTGACTGAAAGTAAATTAAATGGACAATTAGGTACATAGTGGACAGAAGTAACAGATATATAAGGTAGAATTTGAACGGTACCAATCCCTTCAGATCGGGTTTGAGAACCATTGGCAGAAGTTATAGTAGGTAAGAAACTAGAGGTAGAGAGGGGAGAGAACAAAATTTTATTACTAGTAACATGATCAGACGCACCAGAATCAAGGACCCAAGGTCGAAGAGGAGATGATTGAGAAAGGAAAACAGATGAATTACCCGTGTGTGCTACCGTAGCAGTAGAATCTGAGCTCTGATAATTTTGATACCATCTGAGGAAATCATCCTAGTTTGACATAAAGTTCTGAGGAGTAGCCATGAGTATCTGAAGAGAGAAAATATCACGTGATTGATCGCCAGACGTGTTGTCACGTGCGGGTGCGTGCGGAGGTTTCTGCCGATGAAAAAAGCTTGTCGGAAGGTCGCCGAGAATAGTAGCGACGACTATGCGGTTATGAACGGAGAATGTTGAAAACTGATGGTGGGGTCGACTTTCCGAAATGTCGCCAGAAGTTTTGTCGGAACAGTAACGGTGGAAATGGCGGCGGGGTGGTCACCGGAGAATTTTGAAAAGTGAGGCAAACCGGAGTGACAACACAGTTTGCAAAAAAAAAATTTCACCGGAAGATAGTGGGTCAATTAGGTAAAGCACAACGAAGAAAGAATTGCCTCTTAAAAGGCTCTAGATACCATGTTAAAATACAAGAGACTAAGAGACATTTGAATAAACCGTGTATTTTGAAAAGTACTACGGAGACATTATTATATATAGATAGATTACAACTAATTACATGATATATTTGATGTAAGACTATTTTATATACAAATATTCTTAACACTATATATTTATAAATATCAACAAAAACTAAAAAAGACCTTGTTGCTTGGGATGTTGTTTGCAACCCAAAGAAAGCTGGCGGATTAAATGTCACCTTCTTGATTGAGTGGAACCAAGTATCCATGGGAAAGTTGTTATGGAATATTCATTAGAAAGCTGACAAGTTGTGGATTAAATGGATAAATATATATTATATGAAGAATCATAATGTAATGGATGCTCAAATTCCTAGTCAGGCTTCCTGGATCCTGAAAAGCATCATGAAAACAAGAGAAAAAATGGAAAGTACAAGGCATTAGATGGTTGTGCAGCAGGGTACAAAATATACAACTGCCATGATGTATAAGGATTTGAGGGGTGAAAAAAATAGTGAACCTTAGAGTCACATTCTGATTGAAAACTATGCTAGACCAATAACTCAATTTATCCTTTGACGGGCTCTCATGGGCAGATTATCCACAAAAGACAGGTTATGTAGATTTGGCATTATAACGGAAGATACCTGTGCTTTCTGTGATCAAAGTGAAACTCTTGAGCACCTCTTTTTTTACTGCAAGACCACGGGTCAATTATGGGAGAAAGTTCTAAAATGGGCAGAGTACAATAGAAAAGCAAAAACTTGGAAAGATGAAAAGGATTGGTTTATGCAAGAAGTGACGAAGAAAGGCTAGAGAAGGAAAGTCCTCAAGATGGCTTTAGCTGAAATAACCTATGAAGTGTGGAGAAATCAAAACAACATTTGTTTTATTCTTAAGAATACTTGTAGCAATTGGAAAGATGTAATTTTGAATACTGTTGTTATTAGATGTGCTGCTCATAGAGTCTTAAAGAGACATGTCAATAGCAGTGGCACTCTAAATTAGCTGGATTTGTTTGTTCCTTACCTGGATCCTTTGAGGATCGGTTTGTGTTTTGTTTGGTCAATAAAGTATATTATTTTCTTTAAAAAAATCATTTATTTTGAAAAATACGAAAAATCATTTTTTTCAAAGCACAAAAATAAATTTGAAATTAAAAATAAATCAAAAATACAAAAAATTGATTTTTTTTTCCAAAAAAAATAATCTTTTCAAATATAAAAATAGATTTTTTCAAAAATAAAAAAAGAATGTTTTCTTTTTGAAAAAAAAATAAAATTTGAATGGATGGATATTTATCCACTAAGAATATGTTAATGAAAGAATTACATGAATTTTATCCTTAATATATGGATTGGATTGGATATTTTAACGAAAATTTTAGTAAATTGTTAATAGACTAATAGGTTATGTTAATGCATCCATTGACAATGTTCACTTTGAACTTCACTCATTAAAAGTATTTAGTTCACAACTTTGAAACCATGGTAGGGAATGTACGCTTCTCAAAATATGAATTTATTCCATTCAAGCCGAATTTACAATATAACATTACATAGGATATCCGTATACATACTAGTGTGTAAATATAGAATCACATATAGAGTAGATAGAGAGAGACATTTATCAAACAAATACCCTGCACCATTCTGAAAATGATATGATTTCAGATTTCCTTCTGCGATTATTCCTACAACACATTTCTATTCAGAAGCGTTTATGCCATACTGAGCCAGGGAACCTTAATTCAGAGCATAAATTTCATCATGCTTCCTTGAAAAGAAAATAAGGTTAACATTACACTGATACACATATATACAGCCTTTTCCCTTTTTACTTTTTTATTCTTTTACAGATACATGTATACAACAGCTTCTGCAATCAAAACTTTGCCTCCAGAAGAATGGAGGAGTATGGAGCTATACTGTACGTTTTTCCTATGCCGGGAACACCATCAAGGACCAAGTCATCAGGAGATTCAAGATTAGTGTCCACCTGTAAATAAGCCGAGTTAAAGTTAAACTTATATTGAAACAATCTAGATACATCTAACATAAAGAGAACAATTAGGCAATAATAATGTAAAATTTTACTATTACATATCCATTCAATTAAGTCACACCATAATATCCCTATGTTATGTTAGCACCCAAGTATGTATCCTCAAAACAAATCTTACCACGCGATACCACCTTCTCTTTGTTGGGGGTGCGGGAAGCAGAACTTTCAAAAAGTAGTCATGAGCATTAAAAGCTAAATAGACGTCTCCCCCACTTTTGTCATGAAGCCTGCATGCATGTGCAACACAAACACAAAGGAGAAAAACAGAGCGTTGTCAAGTCAGTCTCGATTACAAGCACTGGACATTCCAGTTCCACTGATTAAAATAATTAGGAGAAGCAAAGAGTATATTTTATTTAAACTATTTTTTCTATATATATTGAGTATAAAGTACACAGCATGACTAAGATGTCTTTTTTGAACATCAAATGCTGATAATTAGTGTGTTATGTTAGTGGGAAGAGTTGAACATCCACTTTATAACCCCTACTTCATGACCAAGATAATATCTGAAGGTAGTGTTTAGGTGCTTCATTGTGTGAATGTTTTCTAAACTTGCAGTGTGTTTTTCACTCATTTTCAGTTAAAATATGTATACTTACGTAAATGCAAGAAATTTGCTTTCATAATTGTCCCAATTGTCTTCATGCCATGTTATTTCATTCTGCAAACATAAACTGTTATATAAGCACATATAACAGTGATTTTTCCTTTTTGATGGGAAAATAGCAATGTGTTTGCAGAATTAGTTTATTAGTATGGAACAATCACCTCACTGAGAAAATTTTCATGACTGAATATTTTATGTCCATGCCGGTACTTTATCACATTGGAGAAAAACCTAAAGTGATCACCCTTCCTTGCATCCAACTATTGAGCAAAAAGATTACTGTCAGGAAATAATCCCTAGTAAGCTACCAAAAGGGATGTTATAAATTTACCTGATCCCACAGGAAAAAATTAATGGCAGAATCATGTCCATAACTATTGTTATTTCCATAGCGAGTATGGCCATATTCATCCCCCATTAGCATCATTGGTGTTCCCTGGTCATTCATTACAAAATTTTAAATTACTATTCTGATTTCAGTGGCAGCTAATGATAACAAATGGATTAATGCAACAGCATCTTTAAGTTTTCTTTTGAAAAGTCTGTATAGTATAATCACCTAAACTGCAATGTAGTTAAATAAAAATTAGGTTAAAATGAAAATAATTACCCTTAAACTTTGAGCCTTGACACATAGCCCCTAGGGAAATTGGATACTCGAGTATACATTTTGTTAAACTTGATTCAACAAGTGAGTTTCTAGATTACTGTTGAGTTTTTGTAAACCGTATTTTAATTGAAGTTTCAATATTAACTCACTTTTGCTCTGAGGACTTTGCCATATGTTTAAACTTAAAAGTTCAAACACATTAACTGCCAATTGAAACCACATGGGGCTACTTGCCAGATAGACAAAGTTGAAGGGAGTTATTTGCATTTAAAAAAAAAATGTACCACAAAAGCATGTACTTCAAAAATATGTACCTGAGAAACCATTAATGCCAAATGAAAGTTCTTCATTTGCCTCGACCGCAAAGCTCTTATACTAGTATCATCAGTTTCACCTATAACAATCAATTTCAGTAAACGGAAAATTAATTATATCCTTGACAGATAATTAAACATGGATGAAGGTGACCATAATTGTATTTGTTGCCTGCCACTATTCTCTAAGTCAAAGTTAAGCAAAGATATAGGTTCCAAGGTCCACATCTCCTGATAGAGAGTTGTGTTGCTCATGGTAATGCCTAGTGCTGTGTGTTGCTTATGCTTGCTTACATCAGTTCAAGTTTTCTATGCAGTTTTTATTTGTGATGCATTATGTAAATGTTCTAGAATAGTCTACCAGTTAGTAGTGCGTCAATAAAAGCCTGAATCAGCTAGAATATACAAATATTATAATTGTAGTCTCAGATTTCTCCAACTTTAATGAATGATAATATAAAAAATCATTACATTTCTCTAATTTATTCAACTATCAATTTCAATCATGGTATCAAAGCTTGATCAAGGCCATAGCCATGTCTTGCGATATACAACCTCTTCAGCTTTCCACACCTTCATTATCTGTCTATTCCATCTTGGCCACTCCAGCACAACGATTTCCACTTGACTTACGACTACCAAAGCAAACAGTTATGAATCTCATTTTCCACTATCTGTGTCATTATATATGTCATGTTCTCCTATAACTTCCATGCCTCCTCCAGCGAAATCTGTTTTTGTTTTTGAACATATCACCTTTTCTAATATTGTCTGAAAGAATGACAACAATTCACTTGCATCGCTCCTCACATTAGACATTAGTTCTATAACTGGAACAAGTGCTTCAGCTTCTGTTCCATCCGCCTCCACCTACATCTTCTTACTTTCCCATTGCCCTCCACAAATATAGATGTCTTACTCTATACGGAAACCCTATTAACCATTCCTTGTCTTACACCTATTATGCTTTTTTTTTCTGCTCTTTCATTTCATCTATCTCTGTTCCTTAGACAGTTGATGAAACACTATCCCATATAGGGTGGAGACAGACCATGATTGATTAAATGTAATTGTTGAACTAACCATACTTTGAGTCTTGATCACTTCTTCCTAGGAAATTTGTTAAAATTCTTAATCATACAATGAGAACGAAAGAAATCAGTTTGATGATTTTTATCTTGAGCTGGTTTACTAGAAAATAATAGATTAATAGATTACAAGACAAATTAGAAACATGCATGACATCTTGGAGGGTTAGCATTGGAATAGAACAATCAAATCTTTTCCTGCAACTGTGACAAGAGAATCAGGTTTTTAGGTTACCTGCATAAAGACTTTGAAGTAAAGAGACTAGACTTTTGAGTCATGTGATATGTAGCACATGAATCAACAATCCAAGCATGATTGGGATTGCCAGTAAGAAGGACAGCTTTGAAAAACTGTCTTTATGGACTATGGAACAAGAAAGGGTTTGAGACTCGGACCAAGGTAGTCAAAATCGAGATCCTATGCAGGACCGGAGAGGGGTCACAAGATCGTGAATCGGAGTATGGTAACACGGATTGTAAGATCCTACCAATTTCACAAACTGATATATATTGCATATATATTCATATAAAAAAAACATAATTTAGTAAAAAAAATTCAAATCATACCCAAATTAAAGGAAAAAAGTTTAAAAGGTTATGTACATAAGAAATGGAAAGGCTCAAAGGGTCTGTACTGAATGTGAATAAGAAAAAAATAAAAAGAGTGATGCAGGAATATTTAAACTTTAAAAATTTTAAAATACGTGAGAATAATAGGTTTAGAGAATAAATAGGTAGGTGGCTATATTGGAAAGTCTCAAAAAATAATGAGTGTATTGGAAAGGTTTTAAGAAATTAATTGGAATTTAATTGTAATTAAGTGTGAGAAATAAATGCTCCACAGGTTCCGGCCAAAAATAGAAAGTTTCAGAACCAAAACGGAAGAAACGAGGATTCTACTGCTCGAACCGTTTTTGCACTGCGATCCCATCGTTACCACCTAAATCCAAGTTTTTCCCTTCGCAGGATCGCCAAACCTATCAAAGATCGTAAAATCCTACGAAGAGTAGGATCGCGATTTTGACTACCATGCTCGAGACGTTTGTATAATTGGTCTAGTTTTTCCCAAGTCTTTAACACTATTTGAATATATTATAATCATAATCAAAATTGTACAGAAATAGCACGCAAACGGGCAACAAGCTGCACCGCTACCCCAAACAGAAACAAATACGAAAGATTGTTTCTCTTGTTTAGAGGTACTACCTCAAAATGCAAATATGAAAGATTGTTTCTATTGGTTAGAGGTACTACCTCAAAATGCACAACCCTCTAACTGTTCCAACAATTTCACAAGTATGCCTAGGTGTTTGCAATGGTAGCCCCATGGCTAAACAGAGTTTATGCCATCTCACTTCACCCTTCATTGTTTCTACTTCTAGTAGCAAGAGCAAAACCTTCTACTTTTGTGATAGGGGTAGACTCACTCATCATGACTCAAATTAGGAAACTATGGGAAGATCACAATTAGGGCATAATTTCAAAACAAACTAAAATGTCTATAGTGCACATCCAACTGTCTTAGTAGAAGAGGTCAAACTCCTGCAAAGTCGTTATTTCTGTGTAGTAAGTAGCCATCCTGTTTTGTATGCCATAACTGTGGTTTCAAGCCATAAATCTGATAGTAATTTTGAATTTAGAACATAAAAGTACGTGTCTTTTCCAGCTTCTAAATCCTCTTTTGTTGTAAGCCAGAACATGAAGGGATTTCCAGTTGTTAATTTCATACAATTAATTAACAAGACAATGATCGTGATTAACTGTAGTTTCAGACCATAAATTTGATAGTAATTTTGAATTTTGAGTATGAGTATGTGTCTTTTCCAGCTTTCAAATCTTCTTTCATTGTAGGCAAGAACATGAGGGGATTTCCAAGTGTTGATTCCATACAATTAATTAACCAGACAATGATCAGGAGTAACAGGGTTTGTGTCTTGCCATCCTGGCTTTCCAATTTAGGCACATATTCTATAAGAAACCCAGATTTCCCTTTGCTTTCAAAAATTATCCTAACAATTTGAGACTAATATGTGTAGTTTTATCTAACGAGTTGCGGATCATTGATTTGGAGTGAGTTGGAGAAACCAACAAGGCATGGGAAATCGAATTGCTGCCTGCACCGCCTGTGGTGCAGCCTCGCTTCCTGGCTCCAAAACTGCCATCAGTCATTATTGAGTCTTCAGTGCGGCCTTTGGTCGCTGTGTTTGTGCTGTTGGAAGTGCCGGTAAGAGCAGGCTTCAACACGTTTGTGCATGCCGTGAGTGAAGAGGGCCAAAACCATGTAGAAAGCAATGGAAATATGTCTAACTAGGCGCTAGAATAGAATTTATTACATTAAAATCTAATCCTAGGATCAAGAAATGATAGGATAAAAAATTAAAGGAAATCTTATCTCTGATATAATATCTCCTAATTTTCCTATAGAATCAATTAAATGAAAACACATCATTTCCAAACAATGAATAGCATAGGTGAACGGTCTATAGTAAATAAAGCATTGCCTTTCAGAGCCTACCTTCAAAACCACAATTCCAACTAAAGTTATCATTGCATCCATCATTTCCACCTTCCCCATTAGCTTCATTGTGCTGCAAAATCAAGAATCAAAGAAAATATCAAGTTTTGATATACAATTCAAAATTGGAGGAAAAAATTTGGAGGATCTACCTTGAAGTTGTATGAAACAAGATCATACAAACTGAATCCATCATGTGCAATAACAAAATTAATACCATGGTATGGTCTGCGCTTGTTCACCTGAGCCAAACAGATGAAGGCGAGAAGCCACTGTTATAAAATTATTTATAAAGCAGAATAAAGCTGAGTGAAAATCAATGTCGTTAAATTTCAGAGGCATAATTTCGACACATTAATAGAATGGGGCATAAATAAAATAACATAGATTTCATCATGTTTCCGTGAAACAAAACTAGTTTTTTTAATATCACCCAAGACTAAATGAAAGAACTCAAGATCAACCACAAATTTTTAGCAGCCAAAGTGCTGGACACATCATATTTTGACTGCAACATAATAATTCAGTCTTTATTTTCAATCGGAAAAATACTCTTTTTGGTCCCGTATCTTAACCTCGGGGTTCACTTTGGTCCCTTAATTTTAAAAAGGTCCATATTGGCCCCTTAACTCTTCAAAACGTTCCATATTAGTCCTTTTTGTCCTATTAGCGACGAAAAAATTCAAAAATCAATTGCTAAATTCGTCGCTAATTAGACAAAAAGGACTAATATGGAACGTTTTGAAGAGTTAAGGGACCGATATGGACCTTTTTAAAGTTAAGGGATCAAAATGAACCCCGAGGTTAAGATACGGGACCAAAAAGGGTATTAAGTCTCTTCAATCACGAGATTGGATAAATGTACTCATTTGACCAACGTATTTTACCAAGGAGGAGGCATTGATGATTCCTTTTACATCATGAATTTCAGTAAGACTTTAAAGTTTGATGGCATCTTTAAAAGAGTGTATGAGAAATTTAGCATCAAAAAGTAATTGCATATGTATGGTAGATATGTTGGATAAACTACAGAGTTGGCAATAACTTAGACTAGCTTAATCAAATATTCTAGCCCCACTAGTAAAATTTCATTGTTAGAAGCATAAAAAGTCATTCCCAAACCAAGTTGGTCTTTGATGGTCTAATTCTTATTGTAAAGAAATGTGGTTGGACCTAACTCAACTCTACAAAACTGATTTGTAAGGTGAAGCTTGCCCCCACTTATAAAGACATGTTCATGTCATATACTGTCCAATGTGAGACTCTTAACACCTATAAAAATAGCAATCATGAAGTGTTAGAAGCAGTGGCGCTTACTCTGTAAAGATCAGAAGATCCAGAAACACGAGTTGCAAAGCTCCCCTTGGTACCGGAATCACCCTACGACATGTATTAAAGGAGACAATGAAGTAGATTTAAACCAAACAAATCATAAGTCAAATCCCAGCTCATTATAACATCAATTTTTCATGAGTTTCTTACTCCCCATACAGCATATTGATAGGAATGACAATTGATTTATCTCAGCCTTTTACTTGCAGGCCATCCATCTTATGCAAATCATACTACACCTTAGCCAGTCAATAGAAAGACAATTTGGATCATATTAGTATCTTCTACTCTTAGAATTACCTTGATAAATTTCCGTACGTCATCGCGATATTTCCCATTCCATTCAGCCCATCTGCATCAAAGACATACATTAAATTCCACATAGATGAACTGATATCCAAGAAATATATCCATAAAACAATATTTCTGACATTCTAGACAGATTCATATAGGTGTGGTTCAGAAGATGACATTAACATTTGGCACAGCAGTATATTACATGATGCAAAGCAAAGAGTATTGTCGAGTCTCACATTGAATGAGATATGGCCTGAAAATGGGTATAAGTGGGAGACATCCTCTACTTTCATTTTGGTCTTGTAAATTTGCGTTAGGCCCAACCAAAATTTTAAGATAGTATAAGAGCCGCTTTTATCAGGCAGTAAGTTCATCAACTTTCATTATGTGTAGAATTATAATGAAGATTATTCATAAAATAAACATAATTACTTAAAGATCATTAAAAGAATTACCGATCCCAATTAGGAAAACTTCCAACAAGATAGAGACCACCACAGTCCCAAGGCTCTGCAATAATTTTACATCTTGACAAGACTGCATCCTTAGCAATGGCCTGCAGAGGATAACATCACATAGCTTGATAAAGACATTCAAATTCCAGATTCCCAATTTTAAAGCAGAAAGTGAGCACTGCAACTCAAAGGTTTATCTTCAAGTCAAAAATGTTATAGGAATGTTTATTGATTAATAGTAATCTAGTTGAAATCAAACCAACAAAAACTGGTAAAAAAGTTAAACTAAATTAAATTCAGTTTTTGCCTGGCTTTCATTTTTATTGAATTGCTAAGCTCATTTTGGTTTGCAATATCTAAACTACTCATTTACTAAGTACGGCATTGGATTTCTACCTCGTGTGGAGTTCTTTCCTACCCATGATGATAAGGATTGGAGGGTTAGTTGAGAATGAACTGCTATGGACTGGAATTGTTCTCTTTTGGTCAGTTTATGGTAATTAAGTTATATGGAGCTCAAATCCAGAACACTTATTCAAAATTTATTCCTCGCATATTTTTTAAGAAGAGACTTGTTTTTTATCCTTTAATTGGTTTCATCTAATGGGCATTTGAAAAGAGCTTATTTTGTAAGTAAACAAAAAAAAATTTCGTCCGTGTAACACTCTTGTGATGATGGAGAGGGATTTGAAGTTCATGTTTCTGTTTCTAACGTAAGCCAAAGGCTATTTAAAGAGCTTCTATTTCACCAACTGTGTCAACGCATTCACCATAAAGTATATATAAAGCCCGTTAAACCAAAAATTAATTTGTGTTTTTTCTGCTTGGATGTATTCAGTTTGACAATCTTGGCCCTGAAGTTTGTAGTACAACCAATTACTTGAACATTTAAGAATCATGGACACCTATACAGACATTGGAACGCATGGAAAATCTAAAACATCCAGAAAGTTTTAAGTCTTGCATTATATCTGACATGAATGTCCAAAAAAATCCAACATTGTTTTCAGATGATTTGAGATCCCAAATAATGAAATAACTGAACCATACCGATGAACTAACATACAAAGTGTTCCTGAAAGTAGCATCTTAGCTCACTAATTATAACTATATTGTGAATATAGTAGTATTTATTTACCCTGATGAGTGGAGGAGCATTGAGGGGTGAACCATCAGTTCCTCGACACAATATACTTGCAAGATCAAATCGAAATCCATCAACATGATACTCAGTGACCCTACAATAAAGCAAAACCAAACACAAAATAATACTTACACCGTAGGAACATCAAAGAAAATCATGATATTGGTTAGTTGATATTTTAGTACTCCCAGTGGTGTCACAATGCAATTAATTATTACTACCTCCGTTCCTTTTTATAAGAGACAATTCACTTTTTAGGTTCATTGAATAATCAATGTATCTAGTCTACAAACTGACCAAATACATTGATTATTCAATGAACCTAAAAAATGAGTTGTCTCTTATATAAAGGAACGGAGGTAGTATTATCTTTTAAAACAACATTGAAGATAGTCAAACATTACTTGCTCCTCACGGAAACTAACCGGGCTTTATGATTACTAACCGAGTATAAATGATTCAACGAAACAGAAATTTTAACAATATAGAGTGTTTCATAATATCTACAACAAGTACCAAGTTTATATCATACAAATCATCAAAAAAAAAAACCTATGATACAAATCTACAACGAACAAGGAAAAGCTGGTATTAGGTCAATTGCACAATATAAATCAAGGTACATACAATAAATAATCATATTAATAACATATTTTAAACAAGTAGTCCATACCAATGTCTTAGGCTGTCAAGAATTAGCTCCATGACCACAGGATGGTTACAATTCAATGTATTTCCTGAGGATGAACATTCTCTGAGTGAGAGAAGACAACTTAAATAATGATGCAATATACTGAATTTGGGTTGGCGGTAAAATCAAATGTTGCATATTAAATATTCTCTGTAGAGAAAAAAAAGCACAGTTCCTTTATATATTGCTGCTAATTTGTGTTGTGGAAAACAAGAAAAGCTTTGCAACTTACTCATAAATTTAAGGGAATGGATACTACTTGGTTTCATGACTTGGACGCTCTGCATCTTAGTTATGGGAAAACTTAGCAATTGGTTTCGTCACATAGCTCTGGGAGCTGAGGGGTATTTTACTTTCGAATATTGTAGCCCTTAATTTGATGTTATTAATTAGTGGGTTATTTTCAAGTTTTTGTTTCATTATCTGTTTTCTGTGTGCAAATGTATATTCATATGAACAAAGCTGTTAGAATATAATCTTATGGATGAGAAAAAGATAAATTACCACAGCCAGAAAAGTTCAGCAATTGTCCTTTGTCGTCCAGCATGTAATAAACCTATAGAAATGAAGAAAGTTTACATGCAGAAAAAGCAAATAATTTTTCAACATTCTACATAACTAAAACAAAGATGACAAAACATTTGTTAATAGATGATACCACTTTACCAACGCCATATATAGTGTTTCTAACTACATGCGAATACTTGACAGAGAAACTTACCTTGAATTGTTTTTGATTGTTGAAAGAAATATTAAATGAGAGTAAGTTTGTGCTATACTAGTAAAATTTCAAAGGAGACGAATTCATTGACTATGGAGCACGAAAACTCCTCCAATTAAGCATATCCCGGTGTTGGACACACTTTGGTGTCCGACACTCGCATCACACCGTATCACATGCTAATTTGTAAGAACATTAAAACTAGGGGTGGCAAAATGGATGGGTTGGATGGATATGGATTGTTAATGGATGGATCAAAGCAATCCATTAATCCATTAACAATCCACTAAACTCTCTTAATAAAAATCCAATCCAATCCATCCATTAAAAATAAAATTCATCCAATTCATCCATTAACATATTTCTAATGGATGGATATCCATCCATCCAAAAAATTAATTTAAAAATTCTTAATTTAATAAGTGACAACATAATATCCAATGGATTTATAAAATGAGATGGATGGATTGAATCCATCCATATGAGTTAGTGGATGGATTGGATCAAATCCATTAAATTATTTTTTGTCTTTTGGATGGATAAATTATTGGATGGATTGGATGAATATTATCTAAATGGATTTCATTGCCACCTCTAATTAAAAATATATAGAACATGATAAAGACACTGAAAATATTTTAACGTACAAATAACAGTTTTAAAAATAAAATTACAAATAAGAAATTACCTTATTATCTATGCCACGAAATGAAGTAGTGTAAGGATTGGGGTCATCAGCCTCATTAGTATGATTGTAGACAACATCCAAAATAACCTATATATGAATAAGATTTATCGCAAGAAATATACAAATCTTGAAATGATTTAAAATAAGCCAGAATCAGGTGATCGAGATATTAAGCATGCTTCCATGAAGTTGTTACAATGAAATACTACTATCATTACCTCTATGTTAGCAGAATGCAAGGCTTTAACCATTTGCTTGAACTCTTGGGAAGCATTAGCTGGTCCTCCTCCAGCACTAGCATAGCGACTCATAGGAGCAAAGAAATTTATTGTTGAATAACCCCACGTATTAATCTTGGAAAGCAAAAAATACAGATGTTAGTATATGCTACTTAGCAAGTCAAAGTTACATACTCTGATCTCTTTGATCATCAAAGAAAAAGACACATCACATACTCTGATCTCTTCAATCATCAAAGAAAAATAGATATGGATATACAGCCAGAAAGAATATAATTGTCTTTATATATTTGTTTATTAGGAATAGATCCTCTCTATTTTACTCTATATTTCTCCTTTCTACAGTTTTGGGGTGTATAGAAAAAATTTCAAGCTCATCTAATTATCACATTATCATGATATATTCTATACTCCCAAAACCATAGTAATGGAGAAAATTGACAGAATGAGAAATGGAGAAGATCCATCCCTCTATTTACTGGGAATATACGTACACACTAAAGAGGGCCATTATGAAGCCTTGACTTCAAAATAAAACGTGATACTTTTCTAATTTACCATGTGATCTCTAGGATTTGGACGCCTCTGCAATTCCAACTCATCAAACTCAAAGATAGGCAGCAACTCCACTGCATTGATACCAAGCTCTAGAAGATGTGGGATCTTATATAGGCAAGTAACAAAATGAGTTTAAATAAAGAAATACAACAAATAGTAAGCATCAATCATATAGTAATTAATAAACAGCACAACTATATTTCCTAAAGTTGGAGGTGGCATGCAACCACAAAACATTGATATACCTTACTACTCTGATACCCAATGATAGCACAGATGTTACCTTCTCAATCACGCCAAGATAGCTTCCACGAATATTGTTATCCAACCCACTAGATTCATCCATTGTAAATGCACGGACATTCATTTCATATATAACAAGATCTTTCTGCATTTGCAGCAAGAGCATAATGAATCCATAAATTGGACTTACTTCATCTAGAAACATACAATAGGCATATTCACATCAAATGAAAAAGGAAAAAAAATAACACTAGAGATCAACATCAAGGTAGAATACAAACTCTACATATAGTTTTAAGCATAAAGCAATTTATATGAAGCCTTGGTTTTAGGAAAAGATTTTATTGAATATCATTTTCAAGCAACTATCATTTATGCAGGCTGAATACCTCAGCAATATTTGGAAGCTTATAATTCTGTCCCCAGTCAAAAGGCAAGCTGTCAAAATCATATGTGCCCAGAAACTTAGACAACTTCTTGCTAGTATCCCCAAAATATCTCCGACCTTCAACTAGTTTTGCATAAGGATCAACAAGCACAATGCTTCTGTCATATCGATGCCCCTTACCCCAGTCTTGAGATCCATCTATCCGATACCCATACAGAACATTGCTCCTAGGAAGATCCTGCATAACGAGAGATGAAAAACAAAATATAATAACTAAATGTCTAAATCTGCATTTTGAATAGCTATTCAGTGTTTGAATTAGAGAGAATCTGAGAAATCTTCATATTGATTGATGACATAATGAATTCTTGTTACACAATATGAGCCATGGATCAATATTTATAGACTGGGCTAACACTAATAAACAAATACAGTCAGCATGTGACAGTTGTCACTGCTGTAACTAACTGAATGAACTAGGGGAGAAATGATTTTATACAATAGATACATGATAAGTGAGCCGTACACTCACATTTGGGAGGAGAGGAGTTTAGGGAGCTTTGTAACAGAAATATGCACTTACTTTGCGTAATCGGAGCAATATTGAACTCACGTAAAATGGAAGAAATGAAATTATGGAGCCAAGAGCTTGTAGCTCAACTGGCATCAACACTAGTCTCTAAAATATAACAGCGTTAGCTAGAGTTTGTGCAAGGTATACTAATAACAGTTCAGGTAAAGATATCTTCGACAACGACAACCAAAGATACTATTACAGTAATTGATGTTTTCCAATTTTAATAAGCAATGTCTTCTTCAACGAGTTCCTTACCCATATAAGTTTCTATTTAATATCATAAAGGTGGAAAAAAAATCATCAAAGTTAAAATGGAAAAGTTTATCTATATAATCATTATAGTAAAATTGCATCAGGTTTGATACATTCATTCCAATTACTTTCAAAGCTTTTAATGAGGTGCATGGGTATTCAACTCAAAGACATCTCATATACTCCTATCCACTATTGTCAATATTTTAGAACACACAAGAGTAAAAGTAAACAAAACTCATATTTGACTAGCCAAAAGAATTTTTTGATACAAGAATAATACACTTGAAAATAATGCATAAAATATACAAAATTTATTATACTCAAATAGACAGAAAAGGAATGTTATTTATCTATGCAATTATGAAAGGTACTTGATAATTGCACACAAATTGTATTTTTTTAAATAAGTTAAAAAACATACAACAACAATTTCAATCAAAAATCATGGAAAGGCTATAATCAGGCACAGGCAATATCACAGAAAGCACCTCAATACATATGTGCCAAATGTCCCCTGTTTTGTTTAAATGAGGGTCCAAAGCCAGTTCTATCATACCACCATCCAGTGTGTCAATGCTTTCCCTAAAATATTTTATAAAAGCAAAAGAAAAGGTGTGTGAAACAAAAATGGACCAATAACTATTATGGAAATATTATACATAAATCTAATTGCAGGACAATTTTGGCAATATTACAATCAAAAAAGTACATGAACACTAAGAATATTCATGTTGCAATATCAAATGCATCCCATCCACGAATCTCGACATGTAGTCATGCCGCAGATGAGAACTCCAATTCATTGAACCTATGTTGCATGCAAAAAGATCTATTCGTTTTAAAGTTGAAAATGACTAGAAGGTATCCAATAACAGAAAGATGAAGCAATCTGCATCCCCTTCAAATTGTATCTGATATTTGGCATAGAATTCTCAAAAAAATTAACTCAGACCAAGAACAAGAACGAAAGCTTCAAATTGACTAGCAGCAAGAAAGATTGAACTATAAACCACTTTTGCATTGGATTAGTCATAAGCCTAAGTAAATAAGCCAGGAAAATAATGATTACTTTAAATATATAACCTTAGCATCAAAAACTTATATAATACATATGTTGTGATTCCCGAGAGTGAATAAATATGTCGAGAGTTTAGTTTTAGATGGTGATATGGGTTGGGTTTCTTTTTGCATTATGGTGCAGGAACAACTCAAAATATACTAAAAACAAAGGATATATCCTTTGTTTTTAGTATATTTTGAGTTGTTCCTGCACCATAATGCAAAAAGAAACCCAACCCATATCACCATCTAAAACTAAACTCTCGACATATTTATATATCGCGATCCCAAATGCTTAATGCTTTCTAATTCGATCTCAAAATTGAAGGAAAAATTTCAATCCTTAATAATAAAGATCTATCTTTTGACATATAACAGTTTTGAGCAAATATACAGAATTGAGGGGAGCCCAGACAAGGTTAGCTTCATGTTTGGTTCAGCTTACTTTTGGAAGCTTCTAGCAAGACCTTTTGTAATATGGGAGAAAATTATTGTTTCTGCCGCACACACAAAAAAGTGTTCACCGACAAGTTTTAGAAATTAAAGGCTCCTTACAAAAATGCTTGTATGTGACTAAAATCAAATATGACAAAGTATTAAAAAAAAAGTATATATGAAGTTTAAACCGGCATATAAAAATAAATCTAAATTTACCTTTTAGGAAGGACCAAACAAAGTGTGACAGCAGTCGCATGTTGTGAAAAAATAGCAAAGTTGATCCCGTTGTCGACTTGTGATACACCCAACGGAAATGTTTGGCCTGGAGAAATTTCCCACGATGGTCTGGCCTCCATCACTTTGAAAGCTTTGTCCTAGAATCGCAAAAGGTAAGACATTGCCACACATGTAGATTAAAGTATTTGTACAGTGATGCTCTTTCACAACAGATATGCTAAGTGTTGGTTAACATAGCAGTAAAAAGCACAAGCGTAAACATAAGCAAACAGTTGAAGAATAAGGTGATGTTAGAATTTTCAAATATAAGTTGTAGCATAACTGAAAGGACCCACAGTTAAAAATATATATAATGTAGTTATATAATGGATTAGAAAGTAAGAGTTGTACAAAACCTACACATGGAAGCCATATAATTAGTTACGTACATAGTTTAGTTTTATGCTAGGAGGACTGACCATGGAAACTATATACTTGATACAAATACCAAGGCAGAGAAATCCGCAAATTCAAAAACCCATACATGGTTTCATTGATTTGGAAAATTCATAGAGTACCTAAGAGAGGTTTTGTGGAAGACTGTTTATAAGAAAAGAGCTTGGATTGCTTACATTCAAACAATTGAATGTGTTTGAAAAGGTTGTGATAGTGTGAGAACACTAGATGGGAAAAATACAAAAGACTTTGTGATAACTATAAGAGTCACTGAGAGACAACTCTATATTTTCCTTTTGGTTCAAGATGTGCTTACTGAACACATTCAGAAATGGTGCCAAGGTACATGTTCTTAAGAGTTGAAAGAAGAAGAAAATTAGAAGCTAGAGTAGACAAGCTTAGAAATAAGGTGACATTTTATTGCATCATTTTAACCCTCTTAAGTTTTCTTTTTTTTTTCAAAAAGCTAATGATTTATAAATATCAAGAAGAACTTGTTTACATTAATACATAAATATAAATAAATGTTGTCGTCATAGATTAAACCCTAGACCAGAAATTTATGTTGAGAAAAACAAGTGTGAGTTGAAAGTATTGAGAATCAAGTGTGAGGTAGAACGTAGAAGTCCAACATTGATTAGATAAGTGAAGATTGAGCACTTTATAAGTGAAACAATCCATACACCTATCATCTTAAGGTTTTGGGTGAATATGTAGTGTGTCTCTCACAAGGTGTGTAGCTCATAAAGAAAGACTCCAATGTAAAAATAATCTCTCATGTTGAGCTAGCCAACCCACCTCTAAATTTTCTTTTACTACTACAAAAATTGATCTTTCAAATTCATCTTAGACACAATCAAACTAATATCTAAATTCAAAAAGGTTTCTCAAACCTTATTCTTTTCAATTTCTTTTGGACACATGATCTTTCTCAACACTGAGTTACATTTTTAAGATCAGTGGCACAAGACAGAGACATTAATGAGATAAATACCTTATGCACCTCTCCTTGAGCACGCCCATAAGCATTAGCATTAGTTGTCAAGCCTTCTCTTGTCTAACCTATGCCAAAATTTCCAATCAAAATTGACAACAAAAAATAAGAACTCACTAAGATTACTGAAATGCAGTTACACACCTCACTAAAGCTTCCACGGCCACTATTACTCGACTTGCTTCCAGATGCTTGCATACTAAACTCCAACCTAACGATAGGATCAAATGTGACACAATTTGTAGTTAGTAATAACCTAAAATTCCTACTAATTATAGTAATAAATCATAAATGGATGTAAAACTGAAATTGAATTACCGGATATCACGGCGAGAGAAATTTCCGGCAAGTGAAGTGCGTCCGGGATAGTTGCCGGTGCCGGAGAAAATCGAAGCTAGGAGTGTTGGTTGAGCGGTGGTTCTTGAAGAGCAGAGCAATGGCTGGTTAAGCATATTGGATTGTTGAAGAGGAGTGTTGTTATTTGCACATTGAGAGTGTTTGTGTTGAGTTGAGGTGTAAGGTCTAGAGATGAATCGAAGCGAGCAATGCGATATTCATGGCTGCCACGTGAATCTTGTCTTGGTTTGGGAAAAGAGAGTATAGTATTATCGACCTCTCCACGTGCCGAGAAGATATATTGATTATCAAGTGTATATGGTTTACCTTCCAAAAGAATATTTTAGAAGTGTAAATTTGAACACTTTCTTACTAATTTCAATGGCCACGGTAACTATGCATGAAATTATTTTTGTTTTAAATGATTTTAGCTTCAATAAATATGATTAATAAGTCTAGTAATGGAAAGCTTTCTATCATTGCATAACTTTTCAAATTGATTCAAATTTCTCAATAATATAATAGTTGTTCCCAACTTCAACCTAATAGAATGATTTGTTAATTAAGATATTTTCAAACAATTCAAAAATTTAAAGTTAAATGTTCAAGAGTATCAAATTCATTAGTTTTAAATTTGTCAATTAAGTCACAATTAAATGTTCTTTTAATTCACTTGCAAAACAAAATAGAATATTGATCTTATCGGTTAATCAGAATCTGAAGTGGGTCAAAGACAATCGTCGGTGATGTTGGGTGTGAAAGAGGAGGAGGGGTGTACCTGCAAGGCACTCCGATGTTAAAGTAAGAAAACGAGCAAGAGAGAGAGTAAGTACAGAATATGAGTATTTTAGGGTGAATATTGGATACCTGGCCCTCTCAAGTAAGAGAGTTTTTATAATGCCCCAAGCGCTTGGTCATTGGTCCCTATTTTTGGGGCGAGATAACTGTTTCCCGAAGAATAGGTAACTGTCAAAACTAGTCGTTGGAACGGGCAGATGTGCATATAACTAGTCGTTGCTACAGTCAGGAGCATAGTTATGGGCACAAGTATCTTGGTTGTTTCTGGATGGTGGAACCGTGCGTGACGGGTAGAGACTGACGAGGAGAAGTGTTGTGACTAAGGGTTAATTGGTCAACCTCCCCTATTGGGGGCAGAAAGGTAAATCCCCCCCCCCCAAGTGGTTGAACTTAGGAAATTGGGTCGTTATGGGAGCAGAAGTGGATTGGGTCATGCTTAGCCATTAGGGCATTCCGGAACAGTAGCCCTTCATGTCGTTGCTACCGAGCATGGTAGTGATGACTTAAGGACAGTCCGCTTTTCGGGCATAGTCGTCGTAAGCCACCTTGTGCCCGGGCATCTGAAACATTGTTTATTGGGGAACTTGAGGTCCGGGGAGCCCAACGGTTGATGGGATCTGAAAAATGGGGTGTCATGTGTGCCTCAAGTAGTGTGCTGCATAAAATGTGTGATGATGGCTAGGCTAGGGTCATTGATGCCCTACCCGCACGTGCTTGGAGATTGCCTATAAATAGTGAGAGAGTATGTTCATTTAGAAATTTCGCTTCTCTCTCTTCTTGTTCTATATTCATCGTTCTCCATCGCTCGCCGCCGTCAAGTTTCGTTCCGGCCACCGTACCAAGTCCGACCATAGCTACTCAAACCCAGAAGTTTCTTCCTCGACCAAGTACGTATGTCAATTTTTTGCTTGCTATCTATTTTTCTGGTTATCATGCTTTGGAATACATGCGGTTAGGGTTGAAACGAGGTAGTTTTAGGGCATTTTGCAATGGCTGTTGGTGGCAGACGGTGGTTCGGCCACTTTCTCTATTGTCGACGTCGTAATGGTCGTTTAAGAAGGAGCAATTTAGCAAGCCATGAGTTTTTAGTTGATCCCGGAGTAGTGATGACACAGGGGCATTTGCTGCCGGAGGGAACCATGGATTTCGGTGTGCTTACGAGCTTTTTGGTGGTTCCCTCATGAGAGTTATGGGTTTTATGCGCGGGGAGTTTTCCCCGGATGTGCTAGGGAGAACTCCCGGGAACTTCCTCGTTTGCTTAGTTGTTCCATTTGAGTAGGGCTTAGGTCGAGGATGTTGTCATTGGCTCTTTGCGCGCCTTTTCACTTGACTAGCAGTGGAAGGGTGGATTTGATTTTGTCATCGAATTCACTTTTATCCTCTGCTTTTCAGGTAAGGGAAATGTCGTGCAGGGCTGACGAAGAAGAACACCTTAGAGATTTTTCCGAGGAGAGCTCCGCGGAAGATACTGAAACGGATGATGACTCCACGTCCCTTGAGGCTGGAGGGGCGACTGCTGTGAGGACCTCGGCCGGGGAATGGATTGTGGCCGAGCCAATGAAGCATGCCTCGCTTTTCGCTTCATACATCGGGGATGTGTTTACCATGGTGGGGCCAGAGGGAGAGTGGAGGGTCCACTTCCCCTCGGAGGATGACCGTATATGCTCGGCGTACAGGGAGAGGTTTCTTATATACGAGTATGTTTTTAAAGAGATATGGTTGAGGCTGCCCTTCACAGACTTCCAACAGGCAGTCTTCGTACATTTGGACTTGACGCCCTCCCAACTTCATCTAAATTATATTGCCTTCATGCGTGCATATGAATTGGTGTACGAGTATTTGCAGATCGGGGTCACTCTTCCGTTATTCTTCATTATCTTCCATCTCCAGAGACAGGTGTCGGGGAGGAAATTCGGTTGGGTTTCTCTGAAACAGGGGAGGAAATTATTCAAACCCTTCTTTGAATCTATTCGGACCTTCAAATAAAGGTTCTTCATGATCGAGCTTGTGTTGCAGAAAGCTACTGACTCAACCTTCGTGTGGGAAGTCTCTACAGACGAGAACAAGGAGGATCTGATAGACGAGCAAGGAAAGATAGTTGCCCGGAGATTTTTCCTGTTCCCCTTCTGCTGGAATGGGACTCATTTTATCTCGACTAACGAGTATATAGTTACTCCTCATTAGTTGGGGAATGATGATCAAGCTAGCTATGTTAATGTTGGTGGCCTTTGTGAACGGTTTCCTCCCTGCCCAGTGCGTGACTCGCACTAGGCAGGTGCTTTATGAAGAAGATGGGGGGCTACAAGTGGAAGCCCGATATATCAACACTAAAGAGCTCCTCAAGTGTGGCACTCGCGAGGAGACTTTTAAACTCTTAGGTAGCTTCTCACTTCTTCTTATTAAATTTGAGATGTTTCTCTTTTCACGTGTTGATGTGCTCGTTGTTTTTGCAAGTAATATGTCTTCGGCACAAGAGAGGATGGTGAAGAACGCTCATGGGAAGATGAAGGATGACGTGACCCTAAGAAAAAGCCGTTTTAGTCAGCGGACGACTCCTCCTCGAACAGGATCGGAGATTCCTCGTCTACCCCTCCAGCCACCCAAACATCCTCCATGCCCGTGAGTTCGAGGCTCAAGCGCGCCCGTGCAAATGAAACCGTGGACCTCAGTCGGAAGTCCATCAAAAACAAGTTCGAGCTATCTCCCTGCCTGCATAATAGGAAGTTCTTTGAGGGGTCTTCCTTATCCATTCCTTAGGCAGGATCTCTCAAGCTCGAGGAAATGGACCGTCCCAGCAAGCGTGTCATGTTTGCGTATGATGCCTCCGCCTTGATGAGGATCCTAGATATGACTGTGGTGTATACAGAGGATGGCTCTCCGCTCGAGCTTGAGTTAAATAAATCCCAAGCTGCGGTGGCGGCCCTGGAAGAGAAGGTCAAAAAACTTCAGGAGGAGCGGGATAGGGATCTTGAAGAGGCTGCGCGAAAGGGTCGCGAGGAGATGTCCATAGAAATGGATGTCCTGGCTATCTAGAAGAAGGTTGTTGAGGACTTGGTGGAGAAGCTAAAGGCAGTTGCTAAAGATGAGATCGAGGAGACGAAGAAGCTGTCGACTCGGGCGGAGCTAGTTACCCGGATCACTCAGGCCAACGGCGACCTTCTAGCCCTCGACGAGGAGGCTTTTCAGAAGTTCGTGGATCAATTGAAGCTAGTGAACCCTGGTGTCGAACTGACTACTGAAGGCACATGGTTCCTCTATTCTGTTAAGGATATCAAGATAGTCGTCCTCAAGTTCCTCCTGTTCGGTAAAGGTGGTGAAGGGCACGGGCAGGTGACCCAAGAGAAGACCCAGCAAGAGGAGCAGTGAATCTTCCTCGATTTAGATTTTGGCCTGCGTGTCGCTTGATTAATTTATAACTTTAATTTGTGGGGCTTGGCCCCATTTTATTGTAACATGCACACTTGCGACCCTTGTGGCCACCTTATGTTAATAGGTACTTGTATGCTTGTTTATACTTTTTGTTATCTTTCTAAGTATCCTACGTTGTCAACCGTGGTCGTACAAGGAATTTAGTAATTTGTTATGTTTCAGGTATGCTCGACGAATGATATTCAACAGTACGGGGAACTGGTCGAAAGGCCTGGGTTATTTTCGGGCAGGGGAGCGGTGCTCAGACCGCGTTTGTGGCCTGAGTTTGCAGCATGAACTTCCCATCGCGAGCTGGGGGTTCTGCCATTTATGGCACTTTGACAACAACGGGCTCGGTCTAGGAACTGCTATCGAGCATGGATTAAGTCTCTCTTTGACTAAACCTTGCTTAGATCCGTGTTGGTGGCGCAGCGCTTGTACCTAGGTGTGCGTCTATGGTCGGTGACTGTGTCCGTTGATTAGACGAGACACGCCGATAGTGAATGCCTTAGCTATAATATTGTTTCATCTTTTCGGTGTCCCATGGTCGAGCTAGTTCTTCCCCGGTAAGGTGTTCTAAGTAGTAGGCCCCGTTCTTCGTTTTTGCTCTAACATAGTAGGGTCCTTCCCAGTTTGTGGTGAGATTGCCTTCGCATGAATCTTTGTGATTCCTCCTTAGGAGGAGGCTGCCTACTTGGAGCTCTCGTCGGATAACCTTAGTGTTGTGCCTGATTGTGATTTTTTATTTAAGTGAGGCCTCGCGGAGGGCTGCACTTTATCGGACTTCTTCAACGAGATCGAGTTCTTCTCTCAGGCCTTGCTGTTCATTTCTCTGCCCAAAGGTGCTTCAGTCTTTCTAGAAGGCACATGAGTTTCAATGGGGATTACTGCCTATGTCCTATATGCTAGA